CAGCTAGCGAATGCAGCCGCAGTCATCAATTGTAGCCAGCTACAAGCGCTAAATATGCATGCTCATATTTCACACACACACACACACACTCACAATCAAGTGGACATAGTTAGATTTTCAGCTGCGGTCGGGGCCCAAAAGTTGTTTGGGCAAAGCTGTAGGAAAAACCTTTCCCGCTGATCTAATTTAAATGAGCGACTCGTTCGCTTTGCCTATGCATAAAGCGCATAAAATCTCGTAGAGCAAACCGGATATGGCTTTTTATGGCATTAAAGTGGAAACGCTAGCTGGCCCCGTAGCCCCGAAAACACAGGCCGAGGCATCCACTTTAGCCCTGGCCCCATAAGCTGACCTGGTAAAAAGCATTGAAATGCCAAAACGGCCGCAAAGCGAACTGCAAAATTGAAATATTTTGATGTTGGCAGCAAGTTAATGTAGACCAGCAGCAGACCCAAGCGCACAAACACACACACCCACACACCCACACACACACGTGTTGAATTATAATAAACCAGCAAATGCCGGAAATCGCTAGTGAGACGAGCTAGCCTCCCCCTCACACACACACGGAGAGTGAACCTGGGCCTCAGCCCGAAGGCCAGGGCACGTATAATATACGAGCACACGTACGACCGAGCTATGTGTGTGTGTGTGTGCGTGGGGGGGCGGGGCTGCCTGTGTGTGCGCCTTTACTTGTATTAATATCCATTAGATTTATGTTTAGCAAATGTAACCACAGAAATTACACTTTAAAGTCAAAGCCCGGCCAGCCCAGCTCCAACCCGAAATGAGCTGCAATTTTTCGTCGATATCGAAATGCGAATGCCACAAGCTCGCCTCCAACTCCCCCTCCCTCTCCCCCCTGGCTCTCTTCCACTCTGGGCACACATTAGATACGGCTCCAGTTGTTTTAATAGCAAGGGTCGGCCCTCATAATTAAACGGGCCGCCGTCTCCGGCAAAGTCCTGACAGCAGGCAGCCCCCAAGCCCCCAAGCCCCCGTTGAAAGGCTCGGCGCGGCACGTAAATGGGCCATACATAAAAGGCCAGGCCCATTTGGTTGGGAACTTATGGGGCCTGGACTTTAACACTTTGGTGCCACATTAAGACTGCAAATTGTTAAACGTGGCACCTGAAGCAACCTTGAAGACCCCAACGACTCGAGTAAACTGACCTGCCCAGCCAGCGGCTGGCCCATTACTTAAGTTCATTAGCATCGCAGGGCAGCGCTTGCTGTCCGAAAATTGACTAGATGTGGGGGGCGTTAGCGGTTAGCAGACAATTGCCACTTGCCACATGCCACATGCCACTTGCCACTTGCCAATTGACATCAAATTGACTTAAGAAAAGTGCAGCAGACAGGTCTAGCGAGCCGTATGGCTGCTCCTATTACTAAACACAAATTCTTGTCCGTCTCTATTTGGCCATCTATTTCAGTTAACTGATAAAAGGGAATAACTTGCAGACATGCTTCATAAGCTGGGCAAACTGTATCAAAACTCAGGTCACATCACACTGAATAAGGCTGAGCAGAACTTTCGCATGAGCTAGTTGCAGTGTTTCGCTTTAAGCCAGGTCTTAAATGGCTGCAGCGACGGCTCAATTATAAATGGAGTAATCATAAAAAAAATCATAAAGCATTCAAGCCAAGGCAGCAAGCTGCAGCGTGTAGCGTCGTGGAAATAAATAAAAATATGTCAGCTGCACTCAGCTGGGCCAGCTTCCTGGCCAATTGACGCCAGGCAGCTGGATTCGGAGCGAGGCTCTGGCAATGGGAATTCGATGCCAGCTGTAGATTTTCCTTTCCTTATTGATGACTGGCAATGTTGTTGACATTATTTGTGCGGTCGACGCCAGCTGGTCGCCAACGATGCAAAGTTGTTGACGCGCAAGTGTTGCACATGCAACTCAATTCAATTCCATTTCTGTCGCCCTCAACAAAAGGCCGCCCCACACACAGAGAGAGGGCGAGGAAGGGACGAAGCTAGCGACACAGCATCATTTGCCCATGAGAATCAAAGTCTCGATTCTCATAAAAATGATTCATGATATCGCATTATTTCCGTATCATTTGTAATTTCCAGTTTCCTGCTTATTTTCACCAGCCACCCACACACACAAACTAGAAGAACAAGACACAGCTCGTGGAGCATAAAGAAGGCGTCGGGAGCAGGCGGAAGCTGCTGCAATTACTATCTATCTGGTATTTTATAACTTTTGTGCGCGTCGTCGTTGGCTTTCCGCTTGCTGCGCACCTCTTGCTGATTACAGTCAGAGTCAGAGTCAGAGTCAGAGCTACAGTCACAGTCGCAGTCACAGCTACAGCCACATCATCATCATCATCATCATCATCATCATCGTTGTCATCATCATCAACGCCGTCGTTGTCATCATCGTTACCATTCTTTGTTCGCCTCGCTTTAGATATCTTTGACTATGTATCTGTGTGTGCCATTTTTGTTGTAGTTTTTGATGAACATTTAATTGAATTCTCTTACCACAACGCGCTTTGTCTTAAACTAGGCACACACCCACACACACACACACAGACGCTGATGCTCCGTATATGCCCGGGTTACAATATCTGTTCGCGTTGGCATTGGCCAAAAGTTATGCGACTTTTCGTTTCCGTCTAATTAAAATTACAATTGAAATATGCTCGAGCTGCTTTAAGCGGCAGCCAGAGCTGAAATTCAGCTTTAAGCCAGTGCCTAGAGCCGCTCTTAACTGAACTTGAGTGAGTTAATTTGTAAATGTTGCGTATTTGGATGACGCAACTTGAACTAGTTCAGCCACGCACTAAATGAATGATAATTGATTGGTTGATTGATTGATTGATTGATTGATTGATACACTAATGCATTATATTAGCAATGACAGTCGCACATATTCAGGCCTCTTCTCAAGCTAAGCGACCTAATTATGTTTAATTCAAATAAGTCAATTGCAAACATTTGCATAATGTGCCTGCTTGTTGAACTAGTTCCGACTCATCGGTTCATTTGGCAATGGCTGCACGTAACTCTCATTTAAAGTTTCTGCTCCATACGCAAATAAACTGTGCTTCAAGCGAGCCCCACTCAGCTGCTATCTCCCCAGCCCTTCACTATCTCCAGCTCTCGCTCACTCACTCTCTCTAGCTCCCTCTCTCTCTCTCTCACACACTGTCAACAGCGCGCAGTATCAAATGCTGAAGAGATAAAAACAACATGACTTAATGAGTGGTATTTATTTTTATGCTAATTACTTTCGAATAAGCAGCACTTGCTGCTGCTGCCGTTGCAAGATGCAACTGTGGCAGTTACAAAGTTCGCTCTAATGAGCGACAAACAGACAGCGGCTGCAAGGCGCAGAGCCAGCGACTGCCAATGGCAATGGACGATGGGTGAGCAATAATTGTTGTGAAATTTCCCATGAGCGGAGCCCAGCGGGTTAATAGCGACAGCGACGTCAGCAGCGCCATTGCCAGCGGCGTCAGCGTCAGCGTCGACGTTTGTATAAAGTAAATGCCATTATACAATAAGCAAGTTGTGCTGTAAATATTCTTGAAATGTACAAAAGCACTCGCGCTGAAAGCCGTAAAGTATGCAATATGACAGCGCATAAAGGAGACGACGGCGAGCAGCAGCAGCTGCCAGGGCAGGGCAGCTCCTGCAGTCCAAGTCCAAGTCCAAGTCCAAGTCCAAGTGGGAAAAGCAGTAAGTATCTATGTGTGTGTGTGTGTGTGTGTATGTGTGTGTTTGCATGCACGCTAAAGATGCAGCAGAAGAACAACTTAATTACCATGCTGGCTCGCCTTACACTGCGCGGCCGCTGTTAAGAGCCGGCAAGAGTTTCAGTCAACATCAAAGATAAACGACCTGCCCCTAGCTGAGATTATTTCTATGAATACATATATACATATATATATATGTATGTATATCTTCTATATACTCACACAGCTACCCGCTGACAATACTTGGCCCGTAATTGAGTTGATTGTTGTGGGTCGCGTGCTGCGCAGCAAGTTGCAACCGCTTAACCTGCGCGCCGCGTCTGTCCAAATTAATAAAAACTAATTAAAAATATTATGTGCTCGTTAATGTTGTATATATAAGTATATATATCTATATACATGTATCCCTTACCTTATATAAAGCTGCTTGCGCTCAGTTCACTTGTTACTTCTTCTCAAATGCACTTTGCATTGGCCTGTGGAAACGGGCATCAGCTTTAACTAGATCTGAATACACTTCATGAATAATTGAAAACAAAACTAGCTCTGTTTAAGGCGGGCATGCATGCCTAGCAGATACCCTAAAACTTATGCCCAGTTGCTGACAACCTTCTGCATGGGAAGCTAACAAAATGTGAGCAGTCAGAAGACTCTTCAAAGCTGAGCCTGTTCCGAGCAGAACAATGCAAATTCAAAGAGTTTTCTCCAATTTGAAGCTGATTGCTGCTGCGCACTTGGTCTGACTACAGCAGACGAAGGCGGATTTTATACTCTGAAACATAAAGCTCTTAAAATACTGTTGAATAGGAATATATGAAAGCATAAATAAGTCTAGCTTTAAGTCAGGCCTAATAGGTTCACTGTCTACTAAAGACAGACGTTCGGCTATATCAAACAGGCAAACAGAACTATCTAGACTCAGCTGTTGAGCCTGATCAAGACTTGATGTGGCGACACTTTAATCATGCCAATATGCACCTTCTCAAAATTGACCTGCATTCTATAGTATACAGCTCATTGTATCTATCATAAAATAAATCAAGTCTCATCAGAAATATAAGGAAAACAAGAGAAAATCTTGCATAAAATTGAAGTTTTAATATTAATGAAAATTAAATTTGAAACATCAGGCAATCAGCAGTTCCATCTTTGAGAAGTGAGAAGTTTTATGTCATAAACCGAACCTAGTTCAATGAGCAGCATAGTAAAGCATGGCTCTAGTCACATGTTGGGCTAGCAATCTCTAGCAGCCTCTATCGCAGTGTCTTAACGGAATACGCGCTGCGTCAGAGCTGGTTCTTGCGCTTGCGACCGGGTCGCACGGCGTAGACACTTTGGGGCAGGGGACCGTTGGGCAGCAGCTTGCCGGAGCGCGTGGCGGCCAGCAGGCGGCGTTCGTGCACCTTGCGGTGCTTAGTCAAGTGATCGGAGCGGGCGAAACATTTGGCGCAGTAGTCGCATTTGTAGGGCTTCACGCCCGAGTGGGAGCGCCGATGGCGAGCGAGCTCGTCGGAGCGCGAGAAGCGCCAACTGCAGTCGGGCCAGTTGCAGGCGTACGGCTTCTCGCCCAGATGCCGGCGCAAATGGGCCTTGAGGTGGGCGGGCTTGGCATAGAGCTTCTCGCAGCTGCCAAAGGTGCACAGGTAGCCCTTCTCGCCGGCAGCGTTGTGGCTGAGCTGCAGTGGCGTTGCAGCCGCCGTCGTTGTCGTCGCCGCAGCTGGAGAGCTCGGTGCAGCGAGGCGCAGATTGTTATTGCTCTCCTGCAGGAAGTCATCGCACATGTCCGTGCAGAGCGGTGTTCGTTCGGGCAGTATGTCAATGAGCTCAGGTATTTCCACAAAATGATCCAGCAGCCGCTGCTCCCAATCGCTCAGCTCCGGCGGCGTCGACGTCGAGCCAATGGCAAAGGACGCCAATTCGTGTGGCTCTGCGTCGCCAAAGTCGAACAGCAGCTCCTGATCCTCGCTGCTGTTGCTGTTGCTACAGCAAATGTTGCTGTTATTGTTGTTGTTGTTGTTGCTGTCCAGGGTAATGATGCCATAGTAATCCATGCCTCCGGGCTCATAGCCATTACCAAAATTAACATCCGCATAGCAATAGTCCAACTGTGGCTGCTGCTGCTGCTGCTGCTGCTGCTGGAAGAGTTCCTGATCGAAACAGTCGGCTCCAAGCATTGCCTGCTCATCCAGCTCGCTGTAGAGCTGCTGGAAGGCGCCCGTCGCAAAGAACTCCATGAGAACAAATGAGCCGAGCGCGCAGCCTGTCCAAATATTTATGCACAAATCGATTGTGAAATGGTCGAACTTTCGCTCTGGACACGCTCGAGTGCGAACATTGACTGATACTCGATATGCCATGAAATCCAGCGACAACAGCACTGAGCGATCCCTGTGGGAATAATTAGCCAGTCAAACATGCAAATGGATCGTAGTGGGCAATTTGCAGCCGTTTCGATCTTCGTTTATCTAACCCATTCGCTCGCTGGCGTCATTAACGGCAGCAACAACAACAGCAGCGGCTTCGGCAGTAGACAGCCATATGTTGCCGCCGATCAGTCGAGGCACACATGTGCCACACACACACACACACACACACACAGCAGATACGATCGGAGATGAGCTGAGCTCGCAGCTGTTTCTGCATGTGTGCAACAGTGCCAAGCGGTGTCAGGCGGGTCGACGTCGTCGTCGTTATTGGTCGACACTGTGTCATTGTTTACGGCACCTGCTTACGCCGGATCCGGCGACGGCAACTGCCTGGCATGGTCAGGCCTCGCAATGGCCAGCGTCGGCAACACTCGCATCCGTATTTATCACTGCTCTGTCGCTCAAGTCCCCAACGTCGATTGTTATGAATTTTAATCGTGTTTTTGGGTTTTCTATTTTGCTATCGGCCACAGCAATTAGTTAATGATCAACAAACAAATTTTTCAACTAATTTATTGTCCCAGGGGAGCGGCGATCGTACAGAAAGTGACATAAATATTTTTTTGAGAGTGCGTGGCGAGAGAGAGAGAGAGAGACAGAGGGAGATATGTATTATAAAGGCGTAAGAGAGATGAAAGCAAACCGAGCACTGATAGAGGCAGAGCCGTAGAACGAGTTGTAAAGCTTATCAAAAGATATCTGCTTAAAGTACATATATCATAAATATAATATATATTATATATGTGTTATAATTAAATTATTATTTATATTATTATATATATTATGATTATTTTTAATAATATTATTATTATTATATATTATTCATCAGTATCTAAAAGGTTCATCTGCTCACGCAATTGTTTCTATGCCAACTTCTTGCTCAGCTCTGTTACTATTCCAAATTTAGATGAATTTGTAATCAGCAATTCAGTACCCCATAATCTATAACTATATAGCTTTGTAGAGCTAGTATGCTTTACACAAACAGTTAAATGAAGTCCCCACGATATCCAGCTATTTATCCCCTGGCAACCTCCTTCAGCAACCCGACTGTCTGCCTATCCCAACTAAAACTAGAATTTCATTTAAATGTATTTTTGCTGCGCGCTTGAATTGAAGTTCATAATTGTTAAATAGTTGTATCTGAAGCCGAAATGAGTGTTCTGCTTTATGCATGTGAGCCGAGCGGCATTAGTTCATTAGTTCTGCTGCCTGGCAGGCGATACATCTAGAGCTTGTTTGTCAATGGGCTCAAATGGGCGCACAAAGGAGCTTTCTGGCGCCGTTTAGCGATTAGCTCGGCTCGACGCCCAAACTGCCTGCCACGCCCACCAATTGCCGCTGCCAGTGTTGCTGCCGCTGACATCCATCCGATACGCTGGCAGCTCGCAGCTCCAGCGAAATTAACATAAATTTTGTGCGGCAAACGCTGAAATTTACTTTTGCATGTTGTGTAATAATCAGGCGGCTGTAAATCCTTGCAATAACCACAATCAGTTCTCAGTGCCTCCTCCACCCACTGCCACGCCCTCCCTCCTCGCTGTAACCTGCCATTCTGCCACGCCCGCAGCCCACGCTCGGCGCCTACGTGAAGCCATTTGGTGGGCGTCGCGCTTAGCGCTAATTGAAATTGTAAAAATCAAAGGAGGCAGCAGCATTAAAGAGGACTTAAAGGATAACAACGGCTGACAGCCACTTGGCTGGGGCAGTTTGTAATTACGAGCGTGTACTTTGATATTAATTATATTTAATTTGTCGCTGCTTCGTCTCGAACTTGCTTCTCCCCATTACAAAAAAAAAAAATAGGGCGACTGGAATACTAAACACATATACAGAGACAAATAGTAATAAGGAAGAAGAACGATTGTAAAGGGAGAGAGGCAGACGCGTCTGACTCTTCTTCTTCTCTTTCTTTCTTCCCTAGCCTGCTCTACTCTACTCTTGTCTGCTCTACTCTACTCTACTCTACTCTACTCTACTCTACTCTACTCTACTCTACTCTACTCTACTCTACTCTACTCTACTCTACTCTACTCTACTCTACTCTACTCTACTCTACTCTACTCTACTCTACTCTACTCTACTCTATTCTACTCTACTCTAGTCTAGTCTCCTCTACTCTACTCTAGTCTAGTCTCCTCTACTCTACTCTACTCTACTCTACTCTACTCTACTCTACTCTATTCTGATATACAGAGATACGAATAGGAAGGTTAACAACAATGTAGCTGCAGATACAGATACAAATGTTTAATATCAAATATTTTGATGGCATAAGCAGCAAATACAAATACTTTGTAAAGCAAAAAACAGCATCTGTGGGTGTGTGTGTGTGTGTATGTATGTATGTATCTTTGTTGGATTTCATGTTTATATGCAGCTATAGATACTGTTATTTAGTAAGTGCTTGGCTCGAGTGTCATCTTGCAATGCGATTGAGACAACGCTCGACATGACAACATTGCAAACGGCAACAGGGCATCAATCTAAATTATTTGGCGCCCAGCATCAGCAGCAACAGCAGCAGCAAAACGCAAAAGCAAGAACTTTGGCATTTGGTGGTTTATTTGAGAGTAGAGATAACATAAATTAGTATGCCGCTCAACTACTCGAGCCGTCGAGCGCTCTGCTTGGCTCTGTTCAAATTCCTTGAATGTTTCGTGTAGCTGCATCTGTATCTTTGGATGTTTTGCTGCAACCGCATGTATCTGCATGCATGCGGACATGCAAAGCTATTGCTGCATGCGAATGTGATTGTGTGCACCGCAAGTGTCATAACGGGAATTATGCATAAAATTTAACTGTAAATTGCAGACGGCAAAATGTTGTCAAGCATGCAGGCAAAGACGACCACAAATTTAAATGCATGTCAGACTATTTTCTGGCAGAAACCTTATCCCAAAGTCCAAAAGACTTAGCCATGCCACAAGCCCCAAGTCCAGCAACAAATGAGCTCCAAACATTTGACAGGTACGGCTCACAGATGCCTTCGGAGTTGGACACACACACACACATATATATATATATATGGAAAATGAATAGAAAAATGAAAACCGAATGGAAATCTTAAAGCAAATGAAAAAAAAAAATAAAACTAACTAACAAACAGCAGAAGGGAAAACAAATCGGTATTTATTTATTATTTCGAATATCACTTTAGCACGTTTGGAACGCATTCGGATCGGTTGCCTAGCACTTGCTGCTTGTCAATAGCAGCTGAGCTGCTTGTTTTCATTGGATTAGGCAAGTTTTCCTTTGCATTCAGGCTTCAAGATTTTGTTGGCCAGCAACGGACGACCGCATGGCTGGGAGACTTAACCGAAAACGGATGCAAAAGCAGCTTAGGTTGCGTCTAAATTAAAAGGACATGCAGTGAGTGGGTGAGTGAGTGATTAGGATAACTTGGCCAGCATAAAATGTATATACATATATCTATATATATGTTTGTGAACCCGTACTTATGTATGTATCTCAGCAGAGCATTCGAGCTAGCCAGCAGCTCAATAGAACAGATTTAATAACAATAGAACAGCTGCTTGACAATTTGTAAGCCAATATTATGCTTTTATTGTTTTGTTCCAGTGTAATATAACAGTGCTCAAATTCTATGGGCTTTTTATAACAGTTTTGTTAGATGATAAATCGGCTTAAAGTGCAGCACAACAGTTAGATATACTGTAGGCAATTGAACGAACTCTTAATTCATAAGTTAAGCAAGTTCAATAATGACTGTCTTAGTATAACAGTTTGTATAACAGCATGATAATGTGTAGATGCTGTCCAATTAGTTTGCCACATATAATTGGCAAACATATAATAAAACAAAGCTAATAGTGAAACAAAATTACTATAACAGTTTTGTATGAATGCTTGACCAGTATAACAGTAAAACAGTATTACACTATAAATGTTTCCTCCAATAATAGGGTAGATATACAAGCGAAAGAGTTTAGTTTTACATTAATATATAACAGTTTAAAAGTTTGATAACAGAACTTATTAATATAACAGCTTAGCTTAATAATTTCATAAGACAGTATAACAAAATTAGTATAACAGTTTTGTATAATATTTAAATATAACAGTTTTTATTCAATGTTTTATATAACAAGTTCATAACTTCATAACTTTCGTAACGTTATAAAAACTTAATATAACAGTTTGGCTCAATGAGTTCGTATAACATGGTTAATTTTAGAATATAACAATATATCATTATATCAATTTCCTCTCAGAAAAAGAAAAAAAAACATATAAAACAGAGTATAACAGTTTGTATAACAGTTTTATTATATAACAGATTTATATCATAACATTTTTATTTCACAGTTTTAGTTGAAACTCGTATCTATCGTATAACAGCTTGGCCAACATAAGAGTATAACAGTGAAATGCTATAACTATTTACTCCAGTTCATGATAAGTCCTATCCACAACCACTTGACAGGCGGCACACTCCAATTAATTAATCAATTTAGCTTATTTGCTGGCAAACTTAAGGAATGCCCATCTTCGGACTACTATATCCGAGTCGAGTCGAGTCCCAGAATACCCGAGTGTAGTAACGGCAACAGGTCAAAAGTTTTTAGCCAACTATCAAGTCCCGGCCGAGACACAGACCGAGACACACAGGACACTTAGTTAGCTAGTTAGCCCTGATGTTGTTATTCTGCTGCTTTGTTGCTTTTTTGCAGCGCAAACTTTTAATAAACTCGCAAGCGACAATATTTTGCGGTCGCCCCGAACTGCAGATAATAATTTGATTTTATGTGGCGCGTACGCGACTCGAGAGCAATTTGTTATATTTA